TTTGTTTGTTTGTTTGTTTGTTTGTTTGTTTGTTTGTGTGTGTGTGCGCGCGCTCGGATTCACCCGCAGCCATAATGAGCCCAGAGCCTCATCCCGAACCGAACCGAAGCGAAGCGTCTAGCTTTAGCAGCGGGCCAGCAGCTCGTTTATCTGCACTGGTTAGGGTTGCATTATGAAATGCAGAAATGAGTGATTATAAACGTGATACAGCTGATGATTTTCACCGAACACACACATCTCTCTCACACTCACTGTTTGAGCAGTTAGATCAGTCATCTTCAAGAGTCTGTCTGATCAGATCCAAACATTATTTACTGTCACTCGGAAATCAGTCAGAATACAGCAGTGGATGAATGTGACAGGCATGATGGGAAAGATCTTATGAAAGGTCATGGTATTGACAGGTGAGCAACACCTGGAGTGTGTCTCTCTCTCTCTCACTCTCTTTCACACACACACACACACACACATACACTCTGATGTGCCTCTTTACCAAACACATTATAAACACACACTCAAGTGCACACATTAACACAAATCTCTTTACTGCTCTGTTTCTCTTCATAATTACTTCTGAACTGATAAAGGGATTCTCTTTCACTCGTTTCTTCTGGTGTATTGTGTTGAAACATCCTCTCTTTCTCTTACCATCGCTGCTGTAAGAGCTGATGGATCTGATGTCCACAGACTCTTTCCTCCGGTCCTTGCGACGCAAGGAATTGCATTCTGGATAAGGACAAAAAAGGAATGAGTGCAGCAAGTGCGCACAAACACACACACACGTAACTGCATTCATCATCTCTTATCTGAACACAGCCAACCAGCACCATTATTTTCACCTGCATCATCATCATCATCATCATCATCATTATGATCATCACAAGCACAGCAATGATTTCATGCAGCAGACAAAAATGAGCGAGACAAAACCATACACTTTCTTTTCCTTTTTCACTATAATAAAAAAGACTAGATGCTCTAATTTGTTAAAATAAATATAATTACATTTATTATTAACTATAATATCTTATATTTTAAATGGCGATTTATATTAATGTTATACATTTAAATGTTATTAAACATTAAATTATTTAAAATTTAAATGATTAAAAAATAATTAAATATATTTATACTAATATAAGTCGAACATTGACACTAATTTCAATATCATTGAAAAAAAAAAAAACCCACTAATGAACAAATTCC